AGGAACTGAGCAATTTTTCTCTCCACATAAAAAGAAATTGTGTTACATTCCTCATTAGTGGGGAGTTCTAGTAAACAAAAACTGAATGTTTCGTGTTCGTAGAATTTTAATTAGATCGATTGTGATCAAACTTGCCGATGCCACTGAATGCCGCGTTGATATCAAAATATGTCCAATAATAATATATTTCAAAGAATAATCAATTTTATTATCAACAAACTGTTTTTTTTTTAGTATCAGTTTCTTGTTCTATCGGAAATAAAATAGAAGTCTTTCTATCTTTAACATCAAGATAGCATTTAAGTCGGCATTCAATAGAAATATATTAAATTTCAGTATCGGTTTTGTAATTTCACTGAAGAGAAGAGAAACGTTTATTCTTTTTCTGAAATCTGAAGAAATATTTTCAGAATAAGATATTAATTATCTTCTTTATTTTCTTATAGAGGAGTAATAATAATTTCGGCTAGGTTGTTATAATTTCTGTCAAGTGTTTAATAATTAATTCACTTGATTGATATGGGCGGAAAACCTTTTATATATTCTACTCGGCTAAAAGATTGACACTTCCTTAATAAATAGTAATTCCGAATCAGAACTGGAATTCGTTTTCCTATACAGACACATTGATAGGCATATTTATGCAGAAATCTATCTGTGACATATAGGCATATGCGTGCCTCAACGTGTGTTTGTAAATATGTCTGTATATTATATTGCATGTATTAAGTGATTGGTATAAGAACAGGTTCTGGATAATTCTTGTACGAAATAAGTACTTAAAATAATTCTCATGCTTGGTTCAGATTTAAGATATTAGTCCGGCTGTGAAGATTTCAGCACTCAGTGCATGCACCTACATACACATAAACACACACACAGAGGCGCACATACGCGCGCGCACACACACACACACACACGTGTGTGTGTGTGTGTTTGTGTGTGTGTGTGTGCGCGTGTGTGTATATGTATGTATGTATGTATGTATGTATGTATGTATATGTAAAAGAATCCGTGGGTAAGTAATCCAAATAGATACTATGAATATAAAATATTAAAACTGACCTCCAAAATAGAGTTCAATATAATTTTTATTATAGAGCATATAAGTGTTACACTGAATGAAACCCAAACAAATTACCCCACACAGATGGCCATTTCGCCCTCGGGAAAAAAATATTTGCCTGGACTTGTCAATACAAATACATTTGTTAAAAATGTTTTTAACAAATGTATTTTTGCATTTGCATTGACAAGTCCAGGGAAATGGATTTCCCATGGATGGAATGGCTATTTGTATGGGGTAATTTGTTTGTTTGTTGTTTGTTTTTTTTTGGAAAATCAATTTTTTTCACGACAAATTGCATTAACAGAGCGATGTTGGTAAAATTTTCAATATATTAACATATTACCTTCTAAAACAAATAACCTTAAAAATATAGAGCTGCTTATTCAACGTGTTCAAATATAAATATACACTCGAAGTTGACCAAACTGGGAGACAAATTTCGCGAATTAAAATGATATTTTTATTAAAATTTTGGTAAAATTAAATAAACACACACACACACATCTCTCACCTGTCTCTCTCTCGCGCCCTATATATATATATATATATATATATATATATATATATATATATATATATATATATATATATATATTTATTTTATTTTGCAAATTAATGTTTACACGAAAAGTTCCATTAACAGACCGATGTTTGCAAAATTTAAAAAATATGCATATGTTGATATTAACAATGCATATTTATGCTTAAATAGTAACCCTTATATTTTTTTAAATATTAATATTTTTCCGAGTTTCAAACAAACTGAGCCCAATTCATATATATATATATATATATATTTATAAATGCAACAGAAATAGAAAAAAATATATATTTAATATTTTTATCGGATTTTCCAAAGAATGGCAGTAAAGCCTCTGCGACACAAATATTTACTGTATGTAAAAGAATTAGAAAGTATAAGCATTACTAATGAGCGAGAGAGCCATATAAGAGTTATCAGGAAGATAGCAGATAACGAATAACATTGCAATTCAACTTTTGAATATTAAAATTAACTGGAAAGCAAGAAGCGAAACGAGAATTCCACAAGCGAGAAGTGTGAGAAATGAAACTGTGAGTATAGAACCTCCGGTTATAGATAGCAAATTAATCTGTAGATTAATGAGATGTTGTTGCCAATCTAGTACTGCGATTAAACACATAGAATCTGGATTCTAAGAGATCATCTGAATAATTGCCATGAAAGTATTTATAGAAAAAGCACAAAGTAGCATTTTTGCAGCGGTGGGAACGTGATTGAAGCAGTGACCCTAGGTCAAGGCAAATAATATTCCTGATACTTCGTTGGATTTTATCAATAATCTTCAAATATATAGCAGGAGCAGCGGGCAATATGTGGCAGCAATATTCTAAACATGATAGACTTATACAGGGTGCGATAGGTAAATTCTCGCTATTTTATATTGTTAAGTTTAATTTTGTGTTTGATGTTGCCGACTGCTCATTATTTTAGGGTCAGTTGGGAAGCGTATGTGAGAAAAAGAGAACCATGAAGCAATTCCTTCAGGCATAAATTTGGAAACGCCATGTTGTACTGCTTGACATTCACGCCGAAAACTCGAATACGAACAGTTCAGAGTCTTTGGGTGCCAATCTGAAGACAGTTCAGAGTATTCGAAAATAATTGGATGAGTCTAATGGTGATTACGAAGGTACGGCAGGTCGGAAAACCCATTCTGATCGTTCTAAGTACTCCCGAATTAGTGAGTGAGGGCCTCAGATTCAACATGTTGACCTACATTAAGTGCCCTGAGGAGGTAGTGCTGCCCTGAACCAGAGGATGGCTGCTGAAAGATCTTATGTCTGTCAACAGGACTCTGTATTATGCCACACAAACCGGAGATTACATTCTTTGCTATCACACAATTTCTGCCACCACATAATCCCTTACGTCTGACAACCTAACTGGCAACCCCCTTTATTATTATGTGAGGATCCCAGTCGAGCGAGAGACCAAAAAAACACCTTGTAACACCAAAAATGAACTGAAGGCAATGACTATGGCCTCATTCACCAACTTAAATAAGGAGACCGTTCAGAAGAGTTGCAGGAGATTCCCGAGTCGTCTAGAGGGCGTGGTTGAAGCCAATGGCGATTTTGTTGAATAAATGTACTCTTTCTTATTTCAAGATATTTTTGCGTAATTTTCGTAAATATTTTTTCTTAAAATAAAATGTCGGTGTTATTTTTATTTTTTGCGTAATTTAGACGACTATTTATCCATTGCACCGTGTAATTATGTAGGATATATTCTGCAATGGATTCAATATCGTCTTTCAACTTCATCAGTAGATAACATTAACCAAAGAAGGCGTTACGTGACACTCTTCTGAAGGTCTTCTGGAATAAATTATTTTTATTAATATTTCATATATTAATAATAGTTATTCAATCTTTTATTCAATGATTTTTTTTTTTTTTTTTTATGTTTCTAATTTATTATTTCCTGTCACAGCTTTTTAGCATGGATATTATTTGTCATTGTCATATATATATGACAATGACAAACTTTCCGTTTGACGATCCGTTTAGGTGAAACCTAGGTAGGTTTGTCTGGCTCACTATATATATATATATATATATATATATATATATATATATATATATATATATATATATATATGTATATATATATATATATATATATATATATATATATATATATATTGATGCGTCACTAGTTTTCACTAGTTTTGGATTAATATCTGGAGAAGACAGTTGATGTATTTGAAAAAAATTTTATTTTTTCACGTTTGGCAATAGTCAGATTTGTAGCCTGTTGTTATTATTTTACTTAAACACTTCTTGTCTGTGATCGATAAATCGCAGAGAACATGGCACCATAATTCTTTGCATTCATGCTGACACAATCATGAATTATGAAGAAAATTATTTTTACTGCTTAAAATACTAACCCAAAATATTACGCACCTCGCACTTTTTTCTTTTCTTTTTTTACGTGACTTTCACCCTGAACAAGGTCCGGTGTGGCTACTCAATGTAGAGGGTTACGTCAAGAGGCAGATTATACGGAGAGAAATTTTGAACAGATTAAGAGTGTACTGATCGCGGAAACATCCTCTTGAAATTTGGTTCCATATAGCAGTGGTTCATGGTAAGAAAATGTTCGAATGGAACTTATTCTCACCAGTGGTATACGGAAGTAGTATGGGTGATTTGCTGCATGGTAAACAACATGGTAGGTCCCAGTCTTGAAGATTAGGACTGGCCATTCTAAGGAATATAGTTCTTCCGAGTACTTTCCATGGAAGTAGCGAGAGATCAGTGAGAGGCTTACTAAATCCCGCCCGAGGGAGAGGTTCAAGGGTGGAAAATAATTTGACACTCACAAGGACACTTTTGAACTTTGTCGAGACTAATTAACTCATAGCTGGGGAGAAAATATTAATTCAAACTTTTTCCAAGGTTATTTGCGCGTAAGTGAATATAACAAACCGACTTGAATTGGAACTTGGCTTTCTGATTAACAATTACCTGTCATTATCCATTACACCAGCCACACATGCAAGCTTATAACACTCGGTATTCCCAAACGGCCAGCCATCTGACCAAGTTCGACGTTGCTTAATTTCGATGATCGTACAAGAATCGGTGTTTCAACCCGATAGGGCTGTAAGTCTTAATTATTTTGGAATCACTGTGATTGTTTTAAAGTCACTTTTATATTCCTTGTTTTCTTGCAAATATTTTTCGTTTCGTTTTCATTTCTTCTCAGTTTTCTTTCCACTTTTTAGCCATTTCCGTCATTCAATAACTTCGCAATATTCTCTTTTTATTTTGTGATTATTCGTTTCTTGTGACCCTTGGCAATGTTTATATATTAGGGCCGAGAACATCGTGGACTGCCAGTACGATAATATTCACTTCTCTGCGTTGCGGGTATAGTCCAATGAAAAGGTAAGCCACTACAGTTTCGTACTTCTTCAGCTGCGGAAGTTATTGGAAGGTTACAAAGTACACCATCCAAATCCCTTTAGGAGTTCTATTCCGGTTTGGGGCTGAATATGTTCATTTAAATTCTGCCCTCCTAAAGATAACCAAAAGGCAACGGGGGTTCGAATTTTGAGTTTTCGTTTCCTAGACTGGCTCTCACCCAAAATAACAAAGCCCGGTGTGTCCTGCTATTTAGCTCACAACTAGAAGGAAAATAGATTCATATAAACGAAGCAAACCCGGTCAGCATTTGAATTCAAGACGCCAATTCAACTTCCTGCTCTGATAACCCTTACACTAAGCGCATATGTATTTGATGTTCAAGCTTATCGTGAAACTGTCGGTGATGCATGAAAGCTTGTAGATACCGGTATTTTTAAGTTTTAAAAAAGTTTTTAATAGCATTGCTCGATATTTTGCATTGTACTCACTTATCTTTGATATTTAACACTTTAACAATACTTAATTCTATTAGCTCTATTTCAACATTAATGTTATTTTTTTTCTGTTTACATTAAAGATTAAGATTCTTAATTTTCTTAAATTTTCAATGATTTTTTTTCAGCCGAGAGAAAATTTATGTATGGTCCTAGTGTTTAGTGTGTGTGTATGTATTCGTGCATTATCACCCTTCATTGAATCCCAAAGGAAACTATCAAAAGAAGACAACGACCCCGCTTTCTCTCCTGTTTCAAATGTGCGGATGATGAGATGAGTTATGCGATGACATAGGTGTTCATAGTTGGGATAAGAATTGACCCTGAACAGAAAATAAACTTCCTCTACCAAGTGATCTAATAAATAGGACTCAAGATACACGTTTCCATAACAGAAAATATGATATGGAAATAGCATGAAATGAGTGATGGCACATGCGCTGATTCCATCATAAAAACTCAAGATGTGCAATTAGTAAATAATAAACATTTCAAATACCTCCGTGTATGCATTAATTATAACAAATTTAGTATAGAAGAAATCGAACCTGAAATAGACTGCACCAAGTGTAGTTTTGTTCAACACTGCTAACAAAATATCAACCTTAAATATCTTCGTCACATCGATACTTTCATAGGGATGTCATTTCTGGCGGCAAACCCATTCAGGAATATCTAAAATATCAACTGTATAGAACCACAATTCTAAGATTATTTGTCAAAAATGGCTTTGAGTGGTCCTTGTGGGTTTTACAAAGACCTTATTTCTCTGAAATTTGTAAATTGGCGCTACAGATTTACCAAATAACAGAAATCACATCACTTGAGGAATATCAGCAGCAGCAAGAACTTAAATGGATAGCACATGTCACACGAAGAGTAAATAATGACATAATTAAGATATTCACATTTTACCACTACTTAAAGTACGTCAAATAAAAGTTTAGGAAGGGAGCCCCCACTCATTATGACTGGAAAGAGCAATAATAGATACTACTGAGAAACCTATTTTCCTGAAAAATTCATTCAAGATAAATTTCAACCGACAGCAGTCAATGAATGCAAATATTTCTTCATACGGAAACAGCTAATATTACCATTACGATTATTATTATTATTATTATTATTATTATTATTATTATTGTTGTTGTTGTTGTTGTTATTATTATTATTATTATTATTATTATTAATTGCGTATTTATTGGTTCCTGTTTTGTATCCTGGAGAACCAGATCCAAACTATGGTCATTAGGCCCCACAGGAGAATAGGCATTTAATTAATAGCACTTTTCTTAGTATATGCCATGTTCCTAGTAGGGTGATCTTCGGGGCAACTTTATGTTCATGTTACCTAGGACACTGTTAGTATATTTTTTCATTTCTTTTCTCACGAGGCTTAGAGATCCGATTACTATTTGTATAGTCTCAGTTTTCATTCTCCATACCCTGTTAATCTCGATCTCCAGGTCATTGTATTTGGAAAATTTCTCGATAGTTTTCATGGAGGTGTTTTTCTCAGATTGTACTGATATATCAATAAGCATACACTTCGTAAATTTCCTTTTATGATGATATCAGCTTTGTTGGCATTTATTTCCCTGTCAGGTTGAATCAGCATGTCCCAGAGAATAGTTACATTGTTATTTTGGGTAACTGTGTCGGGTGGTGATCATTTTCGTTATATTTTCCGTACATCCTGCATTTGGGGTTAGTTCCATCATTATGTGACAGTGATAGGATCTGGTTGCAAGGTTTTGGTCCTAAGATGCAATAATTAGGTCTACTGTCTCAGCTTTCAATTTGATGCTTCTCAGCCATTTTGTTGGTCCGCATCTGCTTCTTTTTTTTTAGGTATTTGTCATGCAACACCTTGTTCTCCCAGTTTTGTTGTAGTTTCATTTGACCAAGTTGTATTATTATTATTATTTTTTTAGGAAGACCCCCCCATCAATACTGGCAAGAGCAATAACAGCTACTATAATTATACATTCCAACCGACAGCAGTACTGGCTGCTCGGTCAATGAATGTCGATTGTTTCCTTGTAGGGAAACAGTTAATATTACTATTGTTATTAACATTGACCATTTTCCCTTGTATATAATTTTGGTGCATTTATTCGCAGTAAAATTGATTTATTATATTATTTTTTTTCATAATTATTGTGTGTATTTTGGTTATTTATTATCTTTAAGCCTAATTTTATTTGTTTCTCAACAACAGTTTGTTCCACTTTTTCAGTGCCAATATCTCATCGTTATCTCTGCAGCCAGCATCTTTTTCTTTGTTATTCTTACTGCAAACATTACTGCCTCCTAATCCTACTGTTTCATTAATTCTTTATGGGCGAGAATTCTTTTTTTTTCCCTCATTTGTCTCATCCACATTTTCATCATTAAATTCATTCTCATCCTTTTCTTTTCTTTTCTGGTGTATTCCTATTTTCTTTTCCTTTACCTTACTTTAATCTTGATTACTAAAAAGGCGATTAAATTATTTTCTTTGCTTCCTTATGTTTTTTTTTTAAATTTTCTTCTCCCCCGTCACTCTATTGGAATGAAACTCTAATTTCTCTCTTTTTCTTTCTATGATTGTCTTTTTTCTTTTCTTTTTTTTTAACTCTCTTCTACTCTACTTAAATGACAGTCTTTTTCTTGGCTGTAGTATTTTTTTCTTTCTTCTTTCCATCTCACTTTACTTTTTCTTGCTTTCTCCGACGCTACTCTCCAATTTCTCTCTTCTGAGTCTTCTCCTTACCCTTGTGTCTTCTGTATTCTTTCTTTTCCCATACAATCATTTCTTCTTTACTGCTTCTTTTCTTTCTTTTCTTTTCTTTTTTTCTTCGTACTTTCTTTGTTGTCGTTTTCTTCTTCTTCTTCTTCTTCTTCTTCCTCTTCTTCTTCTTCTTCGTCGTCGTCGTCGTTGTCGTATTCCTTGTCTTCATTTTACCTTTTCTCCTTCTTCGTCTTTTCTGATACATTTTGTCCTTTACGTTTTTATTTTATTCTTCTTTTAAAACATTCTTTTCTTTCTACTTCATTTTTACTTCTTTTTTCTTTCTATTACTTTCTAAGAAAGAAACGTAATAGAAAAAAAACTACTATTTATGTAGTTTTTTTTTCTATTACGTTTCTTTCTTTCTACCTTCATTTATATCTTTCTTTTTTCCTCTTCCTCTTTCTTCTTATTCTATATTTAGTGCTTCTTCTTTCTCCTGCAGCCACCTATTCATTTTTTCGTTCTGTTGCTTTTTCTTAGACCCTTTGTAATTTCTTAACCTTTTTCACACTTGTTACAATCAATCCATTTCTTTTCTTTAATTTTAATCTTTTATCAAATTTTTCTTCGCTAGTTTTTTTTTTTCCCTTCCCTTCCAGACCCCATTCGTGTCATTTTAATCACCCTTCAAACCCTGGTTGCCTTGACTCATTTAAACTTTACAATCCTTTCTTCCCATTCTCAGTGCATTTTCTTTTATCTTTTTTCTTAATTTTCATTCTCTCTCTTAATCCTCATATAAAACGTAACCTTCATTTTTTTTCTTTAATGATCACTACGCTTTCGTCAACATTGCCACAGTAGAGATGGATTAAGGCCCTGACGTCATTACTTGATTATCCGAGCGTGTCAACATTCTCAAGTCGCCACAACTTAATAACGAGAAACAAAAACAGTATTAAACAGCCAAACTTTCCCATCACTTATCCCTACTGAAACTGCTGTTGTTGTAATCATTACTGCTGCCTTAAACTTTTTCTTTAACTTAAAACCCTCACTACAACTCCCAGTCTTTATGCAATAGCCACGTTCTGACACTGGCAATCAATGGATATAATATTAACAAATTTCATTATGAATAAATGAATACAAAAAGAAAAATAACATTGACATTTTGACAAATTACTTCATCTTCGGTATATTGTATTTCAGTATAAAGGGTAGAAGTGACCAAAAAGCTATAAGCTGAAAAAAGATCTAAAGATAGTAATGGGAACATGTCAATGGCAATCAACCACTTGTTGGGGAAAATATTAGGATTACCCCACATGATCTGAAGGTGGGTTGTGTGTTAGCTTCTCGAGAGTGATTACTTTATTTCAGATTCATAATTAGATTTTATCGTTAATTTGTTATTTTATTCATTTAAGGTTTTTTTTTGTTATTTTAGTTGTTATTTGTTCGATTTTCTTTTATTTCATTTTTTTGCGAGATTGATTTGTAATTATTTTTTATTTTATTTACAGCAAATTGAAGAAGCTAACAGTTTATAAGCTTAGCAAACTGATTTGTCGTTGGTTGGATTGTAATTCTAAGTTTTAGTTTTAACGGTGAGTTTTTATTATAGATTACATATTGAACGCAGCGAATGTTTATTTTGAAACGAATGTGAACACCGTTTTGTCTCTGATTTCTATCTTACTAATCCTGGTCTTCTTGCTTATAGAAACACGGTGATGAATTAGAAACTAAAGATTATGTATTTAATGGCTTTGTTATATTACGTCATACTCTCTCTCTCTCTCTCTCTATATATATATATATATATATATATATATATATATAACGTAGCATCACCACGAATCCCAAAATTCACTTCAAATCGTCAAAGTACCATTGAAATTAAGTCAGCCTGCTCTTAATGGCTTTGTTATATTACGTCATACTATCTCTCTCTCTCTCTCTCTCTCTATATATATATATATATATATATATATATATATATATATATATATAACGTAGCATCACCACGAATCCCAAAATTCACTTCAAATCGTCAAAGCACCATTGAAATTAAGTCAGCCTGCTCTGTCCGTAAAATGGACAATTTAAATATTGGAAAGAAGCAATTGAAGCGTCTCTTGTAAGTAACTTATAACAATACCTTGTGCAATCTTGATGATTGTAAATCTTTTAAAATATTCTTTTTTGTTTTTGTTTCTGATGTTTTCACTTCTCCTTCCTTCTTTTTCCTTTGTTTTCTTTTCTCCATTGCAATTCATTATTAAACTTCTCACTTCAACCAATATGCTTAGTGAACTTCAGAACTAAGTCATCATTTAATTCTCATGTATTTTGTGCGTTTATTTTTACAGGAAGATATAGGATCACATATCTTCCAGCCCGTTCTCCTTACATGCTTATTGAACAGGAATAGATGTTCATCCCCTAGCCCCTGTTCAGAATATGCTTTAACAATTCTTTCTCTTCTCCAGGGCCACAATCATTTAACTGTCCTAATTCTTTGGTGATGGGACTAATTAGTGATTGTGACTTTCCATTTCGTGGCAATTATTCGGATGAAATCTTCGCTTTGGTACCTAGACGTTTTTTTTTGTTTGTTTTTTGTTTTAATTTAAGCGCAGTACTAGACTGGCGTCAATATCTCATCAATTTGCAGTTGAGCTTGCTAGATGTAGCCGCAAGTTTCTTTTTTTCGCACTTTTCTCGCTTGTGGAACTCCCATGCTTTCCAGCCAATTTTAATCTGAAAATTTCCTATGTAATGTCAATCGCTTTCTACTGACCTCCTGATTACTCACTTCTCTTTCTGCTCATTATTATTATTTCTGTTCCTAATTCTTCCACACCCTGTAACCCCCTGTGTTTTAGTCGCTTTACTGCCTTACATGGGGTGATACATACATGCATATATATATATATATATATATATATATATATATATATATATATATATATATATATATATGGGTGGGGGTGGCTGTGGGTCTGGGTCTGTGTGTGTGCTTAAGAACATTCACCAAAGTTAGGCAACGTCGAATTTGGTCAGTAACAGAATGGTACACCGCTTGTGAATATCAGGTCCTGTGATGGATAGCCGATTCGAATAAGAAGTTGGAGGGCACAGTTCGAATTTCAGTATGTTTCGGCAGGTTTTAAATAACCTGCAAAAAGTAAGTAACACACACACACACACACACAACCTGGGTTTTATAATAAGTATGATATAAAAAGTGTCTAAATTATTTTTAAGCGCTTTCGGTTATAATTTTAGTCATTATCAAGGATGAATTTTATTTTACTTTTAACTGAATATATGCATTGTTTTATGTATGCATCTAGAGTTATAGATTATCTTTTATTTTCAGTCAGCACATTGTCACATTGTTCATAGTTAGCATTACTGAGTATTGGCTTTTTTTAATTAATAATGCTTCCATTATTTTCAGCCTTTTGCACATGCGGATGATTTTCTCATATATATATATATATATATATATATATATATATATATATATATATATATATATATATATATGATCTTTGAACAGTTCTTTTAGTCATATTTTCGCGTAATTCTTCTTTTCTGATTTTTTTCTACGATTTTAACGATGAATCATTTTTATTTTTGAAACTCTTGATCTTTTCTACTAATTTAGATCACATTTATTAACGAAAGTACAATTTTCTGCTTTTTTCTCCTGCAGTGAACACTGAACACTAGGATAAATTAGTTGTTTGTTGCTTGACATTTCTCAAAAGGGATCGAATTTAACTTTCTTTTTTAACTTCATCACGCATCTTAAAAAAATACTGCATAAATTTCAGATTATTTAACATATTTAGTTTAGGTTCTTTGATGTCAAATTCTATTGAAGATTGAAATCAATGTTATGGGCTGTCAGAATCGTTTCCTTAACCATTACCCATCGATAGGTTTTAACAACATTATGTATGCATAGACTGCGAAAGTCCCAACGAGTGACGAACATTTCTTCAAAAGTGTAATTGTGCCTGGCTTTGCTGAAACCTGTCAGAAACCCTAACAGCATGTCTCTCTGAAACGTAATTTGTCTGATACAGAGGGTAACGCATGTTGTGTTCCTAGCAAGCGGTGCATTTTTAATAAGGTTGTCGGTAACCTAGGCCAGAAGGATTTTATTTCACTCTTTGTGAATAAGCAGGGATGTCTGACCAAAAGTGTGTTCCCATTAAGACAATATTTATATTAAGAAATATATAAAAATATGATGTTTTTTAAGCGAGTAAATCAAATTATGTGATTCTTTTGCCTGTTTGTAGAACTTCATCCAAATATAAATAAGAAATTTGAAATTCCATCATCATTATCAATAGTATTGATTTTATTTCCCTATCAGCACAAGTTCATCAATATCATTATTATAACGTTTTTAAAGCCATATCTATTCCTATATGATGTGTGGTAAATTGTAAACTGAAACATTATTATTATTATTATTATTATTATTATTATTATTATTATTATTATTATCAAGTGAGATGCTAGTGGGCAGAAACCCAGAAAAGTTCCTTCCAACGCCAAAGTCAATCACTTTAGCACAAAACGAGCCCCAGAAGAAAAGAACAAATATCGCCTCACAAAATAACAGCGCACCTAGCACATATTAACACGCCAACAAAATCTCCCTTTTTCCCTCTTTCCAGCTCTCTCTGCTCAGGGGAAAAACACCTACTATGGTAGGCATTTATTGACCCAGTGTTACTCGCCTTAAATTTTTGAATCACTCCCAAGTGCGTGAGAATCCTGGAGAAATGGTAAATTTTCGCAGAGCAGGTAACAAAATAAAAGTAAAAAAATAAAATAAATTCCATCAATGGTTAATAACAAACAATGCAGCGATTTGAAAAGTAGCCAAAACAGTTGAATTCACACAAATAAATGGCCACCATACACGAAAGTTTTACTTTTTCTATTTTTTTTTATTACTCCTCATATTAAGATGGGCTTTATTGATGAAGTTGACTTTTGACTTTAACAGGAGTGGTGTGGAAAAAGCGGACGAAGAAATGTGTACAATCTTAAATATTCAATGATACTAAAAAGTTAGCCTTAGTATTTTCTGTACTCGTTAGCCTTGGTCAAAGGTGAATAAGGAAAAAGAACGAGCAAGCATCTTATATTTGTACGCACGTATTTATGTGAATATCTACAAACGTCAATATGCACTACAACCTGATTTCCTATTTTGTTTTCATAACCTTTAATATAAAACAAAAACTGCGTTCATTGGTGTTTTAGAGAACAACTTTGTTAATAAATTTTAAGTTGTGCCAAATAGTATAGCTCGTAACTTTAGATCACTTGCACCACAAAATGTTATAAATACCAGCCTTGTTTATTGAGAGATGAAGAGATAATAAACTCTCAAAATAACATATGGCAAAAAGAAGAAGTTATTTAAGAACTTACCACTTGACTCGGCGTCGGGATTTTGCCGCGTTTACTAAAGACTTGAAAAATTTCGTTTTGTCATTATG